CCTTGGAGCCAATTATCTCATTTGGGCCAGGAATGGTTAGGCCCATTATGGGAAAGACAAGTGGGCCCTTATCATAGGTGTTTAGACTTAGGGTTTAGGCTCATGATCTGGGATTATTACCAAATGTTAATTAGGGCTATTTGTTTGTGATAGTGTGGCACTTTTCTGGTCAGCAGCCGAGCATCTTGTCTTTCCAGTAGACTAAGGTAAGTTTTCTCATTATATCAATGGGACGAAGGCACCAAGGCCGTCCGATTATTTGTATTATAGGATACAGATTACTTGTGTGATATGTGTATGAGAGACCAGGGTTTAGCCCCTGGAACCTATATGAAAGACCAGGATCTGGCCCCTGGAAGTTGCATGAATGACAACGATTTAGCCCCTGGCAGTAGCATGAAAGACCAAGATCTGGCCCTTGTTAATTGCATGGAAGACCAAGATTTGGCACTCGACAAGAATTATATGTAAGACTATGATTTCGCCCATAGCATTAATTTGTTTGTTGGTATGTGGTACTTTAGGGAAAACTTACTAAGAGTTTGCTTACAGGTTGTGTTTATGGTTTCAGGTACATCCGGTACTAAGGGAAAAGGCTCGGCATGATGGCACAACTTTCTCTCCCATCATTTCCGCATTTTTGATATTGTACTCTGATGATGTGACATTTATACATTGTGATGGTTTTGTATCAATTTTATACTTGTAGTACTTGTTTTAAAAATGAAAATTTTTATCCTAATTTGGGCTGTTACAAAGGTTGTGTACCTATAAGTACACTAAGATGATGGACGTGTGTCTTCATACCCGTTTGAATGTTGGCATTAATGGTGTTGCGACGTGAGCCAGCAGGCCCAGTAAAAGGATGGTGTCACTATGTATCGTGAACTTTCGTGTGTGCAACTTATGTAGGTGGAATCTGGGAATTGTGTTGTTGAGACTCATAAGTCTATGTTCCCTATCCTATCATGAGTTTCATTACCAATCTTGGAGTACTGGTTATAAGGATGTCAAAGTGATAAGTTTGTTGTGGCACCCTTATATGATTATCAAGTGGTTGAGCACCCGAATTAGTTAGAGAGACCAGTTGTGATGTGACGTTGTGAGTTGTTAGGAGGCATGCTCGTTCGTTCTATAGGAAGGTGTTTTTTCGTCGGGGTTAGTTTGAGCATTTGAACCCTTTTGGGCACATTTTCATAATACATATATCCATATAGTTTTGTAGTTGTATTAATAAATAGTGCTCACTCTTAGGTAGATAAGAAGTGTTCCTCGTCTAGGGAACTAGTTGACATCTATGCCAGGGAGGAGATTGTCAATCTTAAATTGTTAGTTTTAGAAGCTCTATAGTGATCATTTACTAGTCTTGAGTGGTTTTTCAAGGAGTTTATTTGAATTTTCAGTGGTGTACATGCATAGTAATTGTAGTTTAAATAAGCATTGTTAGTTGGATTTGGAGATGCGAAGTTAGCTAGGTTCTGATCAGTATCGAAACCCGAGTGAGATGATGCACGATCATTATCGTGTGTTGGGTGTAGACGCAAATTCGAGGATGAAATCTAATTCAAGTGATGGAGATTTATAAAATTCGCTTTCCTGGTAAGTAATTTAATTAGATTAATGTAAGGAGTTAGATATTGCACAGTGCGACTTTGGTTGTGTATGATTCACTTATTTAATGAAAAGAATGAAGCACCTTTGAACGTCTGTGACGTGCCTGTGTTGAATATGTAAACCCTAATTATCGGGCCTTGGGCCTTATTTAAAGGCTCTAACCTTTTATGGTTTGGTTCATTTGACAGCCTCCACATCGTGGTACGTTTTCTCCCCCATACCCTAGCCACCAAATCTTGGAACGTTTTCTCTCCTCAAACCTTATCCTCCATGATAAAATTTTGAGCATATTCTTGTTTTTGTGAAGTTAGAAAAAAGAGAAGATCACTCTTGATGCAAAGAAGCAATGCTAAATCTTAGATCCAATGCTTCCGGAGGTTTGTAAGTAATAAAGCTCCTTTCTTTATGATTTTCTTGCTTAGATCTAGTTTAATAGTGATATTGTGGTCTTAATTGTCCATGGATCTTATTGTTCTTGGATTTAAGGAGCTCTAGGACCTTGTTGTGGTTATTTTTATGCTTATGGGCCTCTCGTGATAGATAAAAGGCACTGCATGTTCTTTCCTTAAGTCATGTATGCATGTATGTGGAGCTTTAAGTGGATCTTTGGACTTAGGGTTTCGTTTTGTGAGTGATTAAGCCTTGTTAATGGATAATGTTGGAACCTTTATCCACCATTATAAGATTCATATCTGAAAATTTGGACTTCAGGTCTTTAGGGATTAATTTCTAAAGAAGAATGTTGTTAAGCCGATAAGCACTACATGAAGCTTTGGGGATCGTAATGCACATTTTGAGTGGATTCATGACTATGTTGTTGTGTAGTGGTGTGTGACATCCTTATTCCTTAGTCACTGTGTGTTGTAGTTGCCTTTAAGGAATATAATTGTTAATTGAAGTTTGATCTCTAATTATTATCTAGGTCGTATGTGATACTGTTTTCTGTATGAGTGTTTGCTTCTAGCTTTGATTACTTCAACTTATAGTTCATATGAGTTATCTCATTACACTATGTGTTACAATGGTGTACTTTGCATGATAGGATGTATTGATATTGTGGTATGTTGATTGTTTGATTAAGCTAGAAGAATCTGCTTTATGCTGATTGTTTGACTATATCATATGTTATATGTTTGTTTTGGTGGATCGTCTCTAGAGTCGAGAACCTAGAATACTCACATCATTGACTAGACGTGCACTAGAGCCATTAATTATTGTTGATGATGATACATGCACAAGAGTTCTTAGTCATTGTCTATATGCATGTATCATATGAATTATATATTTATTATGGTATGTGGTATTTGGGGGAACTCACTAAGCTTTGGATTATAGTTTTTGGTTTAATGTTTTTCAGGTAGCTCCCCTGACCAGGGAAAGGCTCCAACTTGACTATACTGCACGTGCATTGCTGCATATTTAAAATAAACTTCTGATGTTTATGATATTTGATACATTTTGGTAATATGGCTTAATGGTGTTTTGGAAATGTTTTCTACTATGATCTTTTTATGAAAATATTTTGAATGGTTCACTTATGTTTTCAAAAGAAAATTTTGGGTTGAAATTTGGAATGTTACACGCACACACACACGTATATATATATATATATATATACATACATACATACATAAATACATACATACATACATACATACATACATAAATATATATATATATATATATACATATATATATATATATATATATATATATATATATATATATATATATATATATATATATATATATGCACAACTTTTGTATGTTGAAAGCTAGTAATTTGTATTATCTTCTGAGGGATAAACGGTTTTCTGTAGCAAGATTATGAAAGTTATGTGTGAGTTTTCAGGAAGGATTCAAAAAGTGTGTAGTTTCTGAACAATTGAGCTTAAACGTTTACTAACAAATTAAATAACTTTTTATTTGTTGTATATTTGTTATTATTTTGCATCTTTGTTGATTTATAAATAAGTATTCATATTGCGGGAGCAGCATAATCATAGTAAAACCAATAGGATTAGTTTAGGACTTCCATCGAACACTCTGAACGAAACTTCCCATTGTTGAGAACACCCTTTTCTAAATTCCACAAAATCGCACTATCCCACTTGAAGTTGAGCTGATATTTGACTAGTTTTAACTATTTTGCTTGTTGTTTTCTTTAGCAATCCTTGGAGACAACATACAAGACTATTGACCTTGAACTTTCTCGATGATATTGGCAACCATGGCCTCCATTTCTTCATCCTAACACCAATTACTTTCAATATTTATTGAGGGTTGTTTGAAATTAGGATCGACGAGCCCTTTTCTAGATTATAATTTAGAGATTATATATGAAGAGGAAAAGGTGTAAAGCTTTTTATATAATAATATATAAAGTATGATCATGCTTTTAGAGAGATAAAGACGATAAAGAAGAGAAACGACTATGGTAGTCGTCGATGATAGGAGAAAGGGTGAAAGCTTGGAGAAGTGTATGATGAGAGTGGAGAGACATATATATATATATATATATATATATATATATATATATATATATAGAGAGAGAGAGAGAGAGAGAGAGAGGTATGTGGGTGGGGTCGGATAGGATGTGGGGTTGTTTTCTATTTAATATCAATATTTGTATTAAAAACAGAGGATACAAAAGTAATTTTAACATGAGTTAATAAACTTAAACCAAATGTGTAAATTTGATGGACCAAAACTACAAAAAAACATTTTCATAAGGACTTTCTATGTAAAATTAAAAGTTTGGGGAGTTGAACCCAAATTTGTTTTTACAACTATAGGGACCAAATTTTCAATTTTTAATAAAATGAAATCACAAAAACTAATCAGAAATGTAACCATACGGATAAACATATAGACTTTTTCGTAATTGTTCTCGACCAACTATTATATGCAAACCACATGGACCAATCATGTAATTTTGTCTATTTATTATTATGACAATATATTTATAATTATTATTATAGATATACAAGACATTTATTCATATTTACCTCATTTCCATCTCGGTCCAACTCATTATATTTTTATTTATTATTTTAAAAAGTTTCATTGCTTTCTCTTGTTATATTTGTCGTTCACTTAATGTGCATTTAATGTGGTAATCAATGCATACAACTAGATTACAACAATATACTTTCATATATGTAATACCATACAACAAATTTAAAATAATTAATATTATATTAAAATCAAATCAATTATTTTATGGAAAAAAATAGTTGGCCATTATGTTTATACTGATATTTTTCTTGACTTTGTATTTATTTACAAATACAACCGGTGAACATAAATGCTAGCCTTCCAAGCACATATAATTTTCTTTTATATAGAGCCAATTAAATACATTTTACACCAACACATACCAGATACGACATAAAACAATATGCACATCTTTTAATAAATTGGGATCGTACCTAGTTCACACAAAAGCATTAACTCGATCAAGAAAATATATTTCTCCTCTATATAATCAAGAATATATTAGAGGTTAAACACACACAAAACAGAAAAATGGAGGTCAAGAAAATGGTGAAAGTAATGATGATGAACTTCAATATCATCATGATGGTTATGGGGATGGTGTCAGGGCAAGATACAAACGGCACAACGCCTACTAATCCTTTTCCCTTTACTGATTGCTATGGCAGGTGCTTATTTTTCTGTCTGATTGAACCCCAAAATATGTGTACATGTACATCTACATGCCTCAAAAAATGTCTTGATACACCTTCTAACACAATGGCTATGGCTGTGGATGGGGATGGAGAGAATTTTGGCTATTGCAAGCTTGGTTGTGTCACTTCTTTTTGTTCGAACATTGGCAACCAACATAATCTCGGTAAGCATTCTTTTTTTCACTCTTTTGGTGACGCGTATATATGATTTGTAGATAAAACAAACTTTTGGTATAATTTTGACGTTCGTTTTGTTTAATGAAGTGATAAGGATGAGACATTAAGTACCAGGTTAGACATATGAAAAGCATGTAAATTGGGTTTTTGATTTTTAATACGTATTTAATATGTTGAGTTTTTCAGATGGAGAAAGCATGGGAAAATGTGTGGATTCTTGTTCTAGAAAGTGCACCATGAGTTATTACTTGGCCCCTTAATCGGGAGATTCTTGATCTTATATTGATGTGGCTCAAAAAGTAGATTTTGATATCAAAGAAAATACTACTATGGCGATGCACTTAAAAAAATCATTTATCACAAAAAAAATCTTGTTTATAAGAGACTATGATGCATGAGTTGTGAAGGTGATTGTCTTTATTTGGATATTTGATGTTAAGCATTCAAGAATTTTTTTACAATAATTATAATTATTCGGGGCAATTTATTGTGGTTGATTCGTATAATATTATATGGTACTACTCCAATGTTAACATCAAATCAGGATGTTTGTATCGAAATTTTCTCATCAAATCATAGAGTAGCTTTGAAATTACCATAAAACAATTTTAAGTTTACTATCAAATCATTTACTATAAAAAATTTAATTATTATTAAATCATATAACCATTATCATAACCCTCATGAATGGAGTTGTAAATTCCATCTCTAAACTTGTAGCTTAGTGTCACACCCCCAAACCAGACGGCAGAAACGTCCGAAGGTGGAGGACTTCATTGGTAGTATTACAACACATGCATCATAGTAATCAAAGTATAAATAACTATTGTATTTAAAAAGTAAAAATATTTACATGTGTTCAATCTTTGTATATTGACACCAAAATAGTTACAGCAAAATACAAAACATATGACTCAAAATGGCTCTATCTTCTCAAAAGCTTGGGAGTACCTGCTTATTGATTCCCATAGAATACAAGTAATTTGAAAAGTGAGTATCAACATAAAGTTGAGTGAGTGCATAAGTATTTATGTCTGAAAGTATGATTTCTGTTTGTAAACCAATGTTTTGTAATTGTATTCCTTTGTAAAACCTATAAAAGTGAGTGTGCCTTGCTCTACCAGCTGTAAACTGTAATGTAATACTGTAAATTGTATCCTTGTAAACTAGTACTTTGAAAATGTACTAATTTTTAGTTAATTTGTGACAACCTGATATTTCAACTACATGTAAACGACCTAAAAAGTCAAGTATTGTAACCACGTTAGTTGTAATAAAATTAACTTCAAAAATAAAATATCCAAAAATCACTAATTAAGTTACCTATTATGTTAGAAGTCATTAAACCATGATCGTACGTAAAAACAACGCCCAAATCCGACTTCGTATAAGAAAGTTAGGAATTTTTCATGTTCGGCTTAACGGCAAACGGCTAAAAACTCGAATCAGAGATCAAGCGACTTCTGGCTGGAATGACCTAAACGAAAATCGAAGGTCTCAACAATGGTATTTCAGCGGTAAAAAGTCTGGCAAAAACCCATGTCAGATAAAGAAGTTATGAATTTCTAAAGAAACTTTCTTATCGCGACCTTTTAAAAATAAATAATAAAAATAATTTCGGAATTTGCCAACGGGATCTAAACGAAAGTTGTAGAGTATGGTCTCACCTTCGCGTGGATATAAAGAACGTCGAAAACGGAGTTTGTATGAAGAAGATATGAATTTTTGAAGTTTATTAAATAATTAAAATATAAATTTAATTAAAAACCCTTGGTATTATCCGAAGGGGAGTCACCAGATAGGGTCGAGTTGCGCCCAACGTAACCCCCGTACGCCCAGCGTACGCGATGCCTTGGCCTCAGATCGTCCACATCGCGCCTGTACGAGGCTATGCCCCATCCCATCCGAGCTCCGAGGCAGTCGAGGACTCGGTCATGCATGAAGCACGCGTACGGCCAGGGTACACGCGTACGCCCAGCGTACGAGGTCGGTTCCCAGCCCCTATAAAAGGGATGTGAGCGTTCTGGGGAAATCACACCATTTCTCTCATTTATCTTACGTTCTTGCCTCGTTTTCCGTGCCCGTGCTACCCAGAAGCCCCCATCACTAAGCTCAACTCCCGAAGGTCGTTTGTGCCCCCGAGATTCCCGAGAATCCCGAGGAAATCCACTTTCTCAAGCCAAAATTCTGCCCGGTTTTCATCCCGCAACCTCCGATCTTTCAATTGAGTTCATACCCCTATATTTCACACTTTTAAATGTTTTATGAGTACTTTTACATGCTTTTAAGGGGGAATACAAGTAAAACACTCGATTATTATCGTGTGTTATATAAACTTTCACTATACGCGTTTTATCAAAGGAATCATATGTGATTTAAAACTATTAAAGGGAAACTTTCATATGCAAATTATACCACGACAACATTTTATCTTTTGAAATGAGAAACGATTTATGTATTTATATAAATCAGATACTTTGCTTATACTACATTTCTGTGTGTCGGTTTTGGCACTACAAAAACTACACTTTTCATAACAAGTGAACATTTTCACTAAGGTTTATATACAAACGAAACACACTTTTAGGAAACTATAATAGGTATAGTTTTACGAGAATACTACGAACTTTTACATACATGGAAATACTATTTCAAGAAGCTACTTTCATATACAATAACGAACGAACGTTTTCACACGTAAATCTGTTTTATACTAAGTTTTGTGAGACATTAACTTCACGTACGTTCGAGTACACATTTCAAGTCCTGTATTATATACCAGAATCCCTTGGAGGGGGAGCATGGTGTTTGTGTATAGATCTATACGGGCTTGACAACCCGCGCCCTGACTGTTAGCTACAGTCCACCATTTGGGGTGACAAACGTCAGAACATTCCAACGCCTGAAGAACGTTGTGTATAGGCATTCCTTGTCAATAGTATGGTTATAAAACTCACATAGAGTATTAAAAACACAATGATTTACGGGGTTTTTCAGACGTATTGGAAATTTTATACGTACATACATTTACTAGAAACAAACATTGGTCTTGAAAGAAGGCTACATTTATACTAGTAGAAAATATAGGATTTTCTAGGAACAAACAAACAAGAACAAAAACATTTCATTTCATACAAACATTGTCATTAAATACTTATGAAACTCACCAGCTTAAATGCTGACCTACTCTTTCAAAACTACTTGTATGTCCCAGGGATTCAGTAATTACAGGTAACAAACAGGTTTTGGAGAAGGGACGCTGCGGCGCCAGTTTAATTTCATATTTTGACATCATATTGTAATTTGTTTTGAACATGTACTCTTTTAAACAATGTAAACTTTCAATTATATATATGATGGTTGTATTGCTTTCTTTACTATGTATTCATTTGTTACGTTACCACATGAAGTCATCCGCCCCCGAACGTTTCCGCCGTTCCTGTTTGGGGGTGTGACAGATTGGTATTAGAGCAATGTTTATAGTGAACTAAGTATATCGAACCTCATAAGATATACAAACTATAAATGGGTTAGGGACTCAAAGTCTCTGACAAAAGTTTTCGTATCTAAAATCCTTATTTTGTATAAATAGATTATTTTAGGTTATGAAAATTCAAAATACATGCATACAATGACATATTTTCATGATGAGAACTATACAAAGGTATTAAGACAAGTTGGACACTACAATTAGTTCTCAAGATATGTAATCAAATTTGGGACGAATATAGCCTGATCAACTATGTTTATCCGAAATTAGACTAACGTATATCGAGCAATGATCGTAGTGAGCAACAAGTCAAAACTTAACAAAATAGACACTAGTATCTAACGTACAGTTTAAATACTAGAGGAGTGTTTGGTGCATACAATAGATTAATTAGTATTACATGTCTCAAGTTTTATTCGGATCTTATAACCCTATTCTCGTATAGTCAAATGGCTGGATTTCACCCACATGGGGACCCCTACTTCCCAAATCAAGCCAACACTGGATGGCTAGAGGAAGAACCAGAAAATGATCACCCAATCCCTTCGGATGACCACCATGCTGAGGGTTTTTCTGATAGTTTAGACTCGGAGCCTGAAGTCAACAACCTACCCCTAGCTGCTCAAAACCCAAACCTGAATCCCTGTCCCGCATTTCAAGGACGCACACCTCTGTGGGCCACGAACTTGAATACATGGAGCCAGAAACAAGGTCAACCCATTCCCTACAATGGAGACCGAAGTTTCTACAACCTCACTGAAGGAGGTTCTGCTGACAGAGTCCTACCAATCATGGTTTGTAGAATTTCTCGAAACACAATAATGGCTCAAGCAACTATCAACCAAGTCTTGGAGGTTGACGTCAACTCTGGCGTTAACACTGTCCGCATTCGCCAACTAGAGTCTGCTTACGAATGAACTCTAGCCCGCATTATAGCCCTATAGAGGGAACTTATTGAAACACGAGCTGAAGTTAGGGAACTTCGAGCTCAGCAAGCAAGAACTGGCAGGCTGATGGGATTAAAACCCTAATTGAGATTTGATGAACAAGATGCGGAAATTAAGAGCAAACACTAATATGAAGATTAGGTTGAATGATCACTCGATTTATTGAATTGTAAGGAACAAATTACACTTAAGAAATAAGAATCTAACTCTACAAGAAACCTCACAACGTGGCGGCTACATTTTGTCTAACTCTTAACCCTAATAATGAATAATACATGACTATTTATAGGGAAAAGACAAGTCTTGGGCTTTTAACCTACACTTCATCAAGGGGACCATTGCCATCATCCATGGAGTGATTTGAAACCCTACAATCTCCCCCTCAAAGTATGGAATGGATGACAATGCTTTCACTTCCAAAACAAGCATCTAGCAAATAAAAAGATATGCAACGAGGAATATATGAAGCGATCTGCAAATCTTGATTCTTTAATAGTCTTCAAACACGGGCTCTAGGATATATAAATCAAGCACTGAAGTAATGTCTTTAAACTTCATTTTTGAATGTAATCCCGAAGAATCTTCATGAAAACCAAATCCGCCATAAAAACCCATTTCAGAACAACGAAACCGAATCACTTCTTGCCTTTGAAGAGCTCCCCCTCCAAGTCACAATGATCTTTAAATAAGCTAATGATATAAGCAATCAAAAAATATCATGTAACAACCCAAACTTTAAGATTCGTAACGCCACTTGATCGAGAAAATACAAGAAGTCGGAGATATAACAAGTCCTTAGCAGAGCTCGATAAAGAACTTCCGCTGTAAAGGATACTTCTCTGTAAAAGCTTTAGCAGAGCTCGATGAAGAACTTCCGCTGTAAAAGCTACCTTCATAATTCTACCAGAAGCTTTATGAAAAATCTTCAACTTTGAAAATTCACAAATCCAATTTC